GGGCAACCTGTGCCAGGGCCTCCCCACCCTCCCAGGGAGGAATTTCTTCCCAATATCCCATCCAACCCTGCCCTTTGTCAGTGGGAAGCCACTGCCCCTTGTCCAGTCACTCCATGTCCTTGTCCCAAGTCCCTCTTCAGCTCCTGGAGGCCCTTTAGGCACTGGAAGGGCTCCCAGGTCAGGACACTGTTGTTTTCCTGGGCTGCTGGTGCATGTTGCTGGGTCCTGCCCAGCTTTTCCCCCCCAGCACCCCCAAACCCTCCTCCACAGGACTCCTTCAGTGCTTTTTTCACCTGGATCTCATCCCTTACCTTGATCCTTTGTGTTTTCCTTCTGCTCCATGGAGACCAGGGCAGAAAAATGGGCTTGGTCGTAAGCCAGAACCAACGGAGACCGGTGGCATTTGTTGGCTGGGACTTCCAGGGGCAGATAGATCCCTCCAAAGGGAATCGGGGCAAATGCTGGGAAGAAACCAGGGTGGTTAGTTCTGGTCACAGGTTCAAGAGTTCAGAGTTGTTTGTGCCACAGCTGCTCCAGAATGAGCCCTTCGCCTCAGTCGAGGTCTCACCTGCAATTATCCGTCATTTCAAGGGACATTAAACAAAACCACAACCCAAACCAGACATTTATTTTACATCAGGAGGGTGGAAAATGCAGAGTGAAATGGTATTTTCTATAAAAAACGCCCCTCTTCACTCCCCCACAAGACAAACTTTGCCCATGGAGTGATGGAAAACAATTGACCTTCTCTGACAGGGAACTGAAGGTGATGGTGGAAAATCCACCACGCAGGGAACAGAATTTCCCATCTCTACATGTGTGTGTGGGGCAAAAGAGGTAGAAAAAAGAAAAATCCTCATGGGGATGCTCTTAAAGCAGCAGAAACAGGGCTGGGAGCTGAGCTGGGCCCGGGCCCTTCTGGGGGTTCACCTGCAGCAGGTGGACGTGCCCCGTGTGCTGCTCCCAACTCCAGACCCAGCCTCGGGGGCAAAGAGCCCTTGTGAAAACATGGGATTGAGAGGAAAGGTGGACTCTGAGCACAGACAGGTCTGAGAGGCTTTGGGAAGAGAGGGCAGGTCTCACCTTCCCCCCCCGAGTCCCGCAGCATCGTGTCTGCCACCACCACGATGGGTCTCTTCAGCACGTGGGCCAGGACGAAGACGTGGAACTCCTCCAGGCTCTCGTACACCGGCTCTTCTGAGCTCTCCACCCTTGGGGAAGAAGAATTTCACCCTCTGGATATTCAATCATTGTTTTGTAACACCAGGAGGAAGCTTCAGAGGCAGCCATGGAGAGGGGGATCGACAGCACTAAAGGTTGATCTCAGCGCTAATTTGGGGTTTTAGATGTGGATCCCTAAAATGTCCTGCTCCAAGGCAAGGGTTTGTGCCCAGGAAATGCCCAGCTGCTGCCTGGCACTGCCGGGAGTCCCTTATCTAAGGGGCCTCCCAGGTGGGAGCTGCCAGGACGGCTGCAGCAGTGAAGTGCCCTTGAAACAGAGCGAGAGGCAGAAACTGAGCTCTGGGTTATTCCCTCATTTCGGAGCCAGCAACACAAGGAAACACGAGGAAAAGATGCATTCCCTGTTCAATCCATGTGCTGCCCCACAGAAGAGGCCGTGCAGCACCGAAATCCTTTCCTCAGATGCTCTGTGGGCCTCGTGTTTCCTCGTGACCCTTCCTTTCCCCCCCGAAACCCCGACGAGCCGGCCCAACACGGCCTCCCAGCCCTGTCCCCTGCCCTGGGGCACCACCCCGAGCTGTGCCCTGAGGGAGGACATTCCCTGTTTCCCCCCTGGCTGCGTTGTTGCCTCCGGGCACTCACGCACCCGCCGCAGCCGCCGCCGTTGGTGCCGTAGTGCACGCGGGGCTCGCTGGACGCCAACTTGATCAGCTCGTTCCACTCCTTCTGCCACTCCTCCTCCGTGTACACCAGCCCAGACTGAAAAAAAGGGCAAAGAGAACCCAAAATCCTCCAAGGAAATCTCTCCCCAGTCGCTCCAGCGCTGGTTTATACCCACAGCACAACTTCTCTCTACGGATTTATGCAAAAATAATCAAGTGGGGCACAGCCCCGGCTGGCACAGCCCTGAGGGCACCTCCATCCCACCAGGCTTTAGCTGCAGGATATGTTGGTTTGGTCCAATGGCACAAATGTCTAAAGCCTGCTGCAAGGGTTGGCTTCAGGAAATCCACCTTTCCTCAAGGCAGCAGCTCGGGAGGGACCTTAAAGCTCATTCCCTTCATGGCAGGGACACCTCCCCCTAGTCCAGGTTGCTCCAAGCACTGTCCAACCCAGCCTTGAACACTTCCAGGGATGGAACACTTGAACATTTCCCTGGCCAATCTGTGCCAGGGCCTCACCACCCTCACAGGGAAGAATTTCTCCCCAGCACTACCCCAAACTTGCCCTGTTTTAATTTAAACCCATTCCCCTGCCCTGTCACTCGTCCCAAGCCCCTCTCAGCTTGACACAGCTCTGACTGCAGGACACACCTCACCGAGGCACAGCCAGGGAGCTGCCCAAAATTCCACACCCGACAGGAAAGCGCCTCCCAAACCCACGGGGTGTTTTCCCAGGACTTTCTCCTTGGCAAAGAGGGCCCAAACCGACGCTCAGTCGGCTCCCACCTCCTTGTTCTGCTGCGTCTGCTGCCAGCGCCACCTCCGCCTCAGCGCCTCCCGCTCCGCTCCCTTGTCCATCAGGGTGTAGAGGGATTTCCGCAGCATGAGATCCCGGTCGTGGAAGCCCCACATTCCTGCAGGGGGAAGGACGGAGAGGAGGATCAGGAGGGGCTGGTATCACACCCTCCGACCCGCTGAGGTCCCACGGCCCATGCAGACGGGCTGGGTGAGGGAAGAGGCGGCTCCGTTATCCCACATTTCCTTCAGGATTCTGGGGAATCTTGCCAGACGGACAGGGAGAGGGATCTGAGGAGCACACAAGCTGCTGGCAGCCCCTTCCCTTCAACCCATCCCGCTCCCATAGAGCCTGAGCCCCCCACTGACATCACTGAGGGCAGGAGGAGCAGCAGCATCCCCGTTTCCCATGGGAATGGATGGGAGATGCTGGGTCCTGCTCCCACCTGGGCTCTGCCCCCGGGACCAGTTGGTTGTTTCCCCATGGATTAAGCCCAGCCTTACCCAGGGAGGCGGCGTGGAGAAGGCAGTTCCCGTCGCCGGTGGTGGCCAGGGGCAGCAGCCGCTGGCAACTGGGATCCACCGTCACCCACCAGTTCAGGCGCCCTGGGGAATGTGGGAGAGCATGAAACCACAGCACAGCACAGCACTGGGGGGCTCAACCCCTCCAAAACCACCAACGAGGACAAAAAACAGCTGAACAAGCTGGGGAGCAGGGACAGACCCGTGCCAGGGCCGGGGGGAAGAGTCAGGACATTGATAAAGCAACAAAAAGGGGAGGTTGGAGCTGTAAAACTTCCAGGGGATGGCAGGGAAGGGTCAGGCTGAACAGGGTCACCCAAATCAGAATTAAAGAGGAATAGGAGACAGGACTTCCACCTAGACCAGTTCTCCTCTACTCATTTCTCCCCCACCCCTCTTATTTCACGCCCCAAAAAGCCCACCAGGCTGAAAATGCCTCCCGGAGCACCCGGCACAAACAGCTTCTCCAGGGAAAACCAGCTTTTTTCTGCCTCTTGGAACCAAATCCCTCCAGTTTCGACCCTCTCACAGCCTGGTTTTCCCTGCTCACTGGTTTTCAGGCAGAACACTCTGGCATTTCTGCTGACCCCAGCAGCTTTCCCGCTACAAACACAAACTGACGGCGCTTTGTGCCCTTTAAACTGCAAGTTTTGGGTCATTGTGGTGATTTGACTCGAGAGCAGCTAAAAATAGAAGGTAGGAAAAAATGCCCAGTGAGCCCAGCGTGGCTGGAGGCTCAGCCTGGAGGTCCAGCCCTTCCCGAGGGAGCAAAGTGGGGCTGGATCAGGACTCTGAACCCCCCAGGCTGTGTCTCACCCTGCCCTGCCCTCAACACCCCTCCTTGGCTGCCTCGTTCCCCAGTAGTTTTTGGATCCCGTGCAACAGGCAGGTTTTTGGCTGGAAAAGGCTGTTCAGGCTTCCAGCAAGCTGTATTTAAATTGCTCCTGCAGGAAACCAGCCCTTTCCCAGCGTTTCCAAGGAGCCTCTCCCTCCTCCCGAGCCCGGTCCCTGCCAGGGATCCCGACATGCAGACACGGGATTGCTGGAAATGGTTTGCACAGCCTCAGGGAGGAGCTAAGTGCAGAAAACCGGGGTTTAAACACCCCTAGACACGAGAAAACACAACCCCACGAGCCCGGTGTGACGCAGGGGGGTCGTTCCTGTCCCCTGCGCCGGGAGAGGGACCCGCTGGAGCTGGAAGTGTTCCACGCCGAGCCCGGGGACAACGGCTCCGCCGGGAAAAGCCGGCTGTTCCCTCCACACAGCTCCTGGCACGGCCGAGCAGGAGCCTGGCCAAGTGGCCCAGGGCCAGGGGAGCGAAGGCAGCGCCTCACAGCAGCTGCCCCCCCCCCGAAACGCTGCCGAGGGACCCCTTTGATCCACTTCCCCCCGTTCCTGGAGCATCTGGTGGCCCTTTCCGTGGAGTTGGGAGTCTCGGTTGGCATTTTGGAGGTTGTGCAACCTCTGGCTGGGTGCCATGAGAGGGGACACACCTTGGGGAGGTATTTCTGGGCCCGAGTGTTTGTAGCCACTCTGGTTATGCAAGAGAAGTCGTCTCCAAAGGAACCGCAGCCCAACCCTGCTCCCGATGTTTTGCTCCCGTCGAGGCGGCGGAAAGGCCAAGAGGCCGCCCAGAAGGATTGAAAACAACACATTTCTCTGCGTGTGGTTCTTAGGAAACACCCCTGAGAGCTCTGCAGGGAAGACAACCGGATTCAGGAGCACGAGGGATCTTCCCAGAGCATCCAGAGGCTCCCTCTGCATCCAGCACCACAGCCCTGCGGGGTCCAGTGTCACCCCACAGAACACCAGATCAGGACCTGCACCCAAAGGTGTGTTTGGGGAAATCCCATCGTTTCTTCCAACAGGAGCCACCCGAACAGGTCACGGCAGTGGGGAGGAACTGGCAGCTCCTCCCAGCCCAAAATGAGAACTGTCTCATCCAAACCCCAAATGGCTCCCCTAAGGCTACCGGGAATCCACTCCCATGGATCACTGTGTGATCACATGAGGGAGAGTCCCAGGGAGGTGCCACGACTGAACCCACTCTGCAGCTTCCCAACACAGGGCAAGGCCTGATCCACGAGGGTTTGTGCCAAAGGACACCAAGGCTACGGCGAGGGCTGAGGTTTCAGCTCCACCAAGACCTTTCCACACCACTCTGAGCACGTTCAAGGCATTCCCAGAGGATCCCGTTGCAATTTACAGCCCCTTTGGAAGCACTTACTCTGCCACAGTGGCGTAACGGGATCTCTGGATGCACAGGGAGAGGATCTGAACATTTATTGGGCTATAAAACATTTCCTTAATCCCCTAAGGACGGCACGTGCTAAATTAATAACGGGAGTCTCCCTAGACTGCAGCTCCACGCTCAAAACCCTACTTGGAATCCAGCTTGGAATATTTCATAGCTGCTTTACAGCCCTTTGTTACAGACAAACACTCGTTTATAACAACCCACAGAGTCTCCCAAAGGCACCTTCTAAATTCCTTCCAGTTAATGGTGTCCCAGTGTGCCTGGAAGCGCCCCCAGCCCACGGATGGAGCACCCAACCACCCCCAGCCCCCTCACCCCCTTCGTGCTGGGACACAGGAACCCAAGCCCCCGAGCCTGCTGGGATGGGATCCGGGGTTTATCTGCACCAGACCCGACGGCTGCGCCGGTGCCGCGTAACGGGATCGCTGGGATCAAGTGCTCATTCCCAAAACATGAGAATATTTGTTACAGCAACACCTGAGCAGGAGAGGGAGAGGTTGGGCACTCCAAGTGTCCGTTATCCCCGAGGATAACAGTGTGTGCAGCAGCCACGAGAACAACTGGGGGTGCAGACCCTCCTGAGACCCCTCCCGTGTCCTGGTGCCAGGGATGGGGTTTTTCCCTGCCAACACAGAGGTCCTGCCCATTCCCCGGCTCAACCTTATTTACAGATCCCCTGGGAGCTGTAAATCTAAATTCAGGAGACCAATGGAAAGCAAATCCATGTGCCCTGGCAGGGGGTTCCTCCCCAGGCACACAGCGAACCAGTGGGTGCTGGAGCAGCAGCATCGACCTTGTGTCCAAAATCAATCCCGGATTTGTCAGCAGGATGAGCTGCTGTCTGTGTTACACAGGAATTCCCTTTTCCCTGTCTCTCCGTGGATGGAGCAGGGCACTGGAATGCTCCAGGAGTGAGACAATGCCAGTTTTTGGGTGTCCCCACTCATCTGTGCGTGGTGACAACAGCCCTGGGCTGTTTACACTCGGTGTCCCCGGGCGAAGGGGGCAGCTCCTCCTCAGCCCTTGCACCAGGCCATAAAAAGGATGGAATGACTCCCTGTCGGATATGAATCCGTGTGACATCCCGGGGTGTTCCCAAGGGTCCCACTGCCAAACTGTCTACAGCACATGCCACCAGCACAGAGCCAGCACTCACCAGCCTGCTCCAGTGCCACCAGCATGGACTGCTCGATGAGGTCCCGCTCGATGAAGCTGCGGAATTCCTCGGAGTACACGGTGAGGTCGGGCAGCTGGAAGGTGCAGATGGGCATCTCCAGCAGGTGCTCGCTGCTGCCGCCGTTGCTGGAGACGTGGGAACGCGCCAGGGACACGATGGTGGAGCTGGCGTGGGAGATGCCTCGGGACAGGCGCTTCTCTGGGGGGGGAAGAGGAAACCCACCTGAGCGGGGCAAACCCCACGGAAGCCACCACAGAGGTGGTGGGGCAGGAGGAGGTTTGAGGGACCCCCCGGCCGTGGGACACTGACCTTGCACGACGTCATCCTGGCGCTGCAGGGGCGGCCGCCCCGGCCGTGCCGCCTCCCGCGGCTCCGGGGGCCGGGCACCGCGGCCCTCGTTGAAGGAAGGCGGCAAATTCCCGGCGTGCACCTGCCGGAGCTGCTCGAAGTCGCTCAGCGCCGCGCTCAGGTCCCAGTTCTTGCCTGCACGGGAAGGGATTGGACCGGTCACCCTCGCAGAACACGGAAAACCGGGCAGGTCCTAAACATCCCGAGCGCGGGGTGGGGAGGCCCTGGCACAGCCTGCCCAGGGAAGCTGTGGATGGACCATCCCTGGAAGTGTTCAAGGCTTGGAGCAGCCTGGTCTCGTGGGAGGTGTCCCTGTCATGAACAGGATGAGCCAACCCACTCCGTGGTTCCACGATCCACCAGACCTGTCGCTGCCACCAGACAGTTGACACGTGGAGGGAACTCAAAGCACAGACAGAAAAACACGACTTAAATCGCTCACCTCGCCCTCAAACTTCACTTTATGCATCTATTTATCCGACTGCTTCACTAATACCACCCAAAAAAGGAAAATCCTTGTGTTTTCCCTCATTCCCACCCCTGCAGCTGTCAGCTCCTCCGAGGCTGCCGGAGGAACAGCAGCGTCACCAAAACGAGCTGGAAGTGCCGTTGTCAAAATAAATCAACTCCTGCAGCAAGGGGGAACGGGGGGAGGGGGGAGGTTGGACGGAAAATCCACTCAACCTTTCCCACCACAAACCAAAATATTCCCCCTGACAGACAGGATCCGAAATCCTGACGTGAGGCCGAGGGACCCAAACCCAGGAACCAGAACTCAGACACACCCAAACCCACGACTCGCCCGAATTCCACCGGGGCGACGTCGGGCTCCCGAAATTCCAGGGGTGAAGCCCTGAAACCTGCCACTACTGAGAGTTTAAAGAGGAAAAATAAAGCTACGGATTGATGCTGCCAGTGCCGAGCTAAGGTGGAGAAAATTGCCTAAAGACCTGGATTCTGGCACCAATTTCAGGGCTTTGAACTCCTTCCTGCCAGGAATCCCAGCTGGGAGCAGGTGCTGCTGCAGCAGCTGCTCCTGGGTTCAAGCAACAGCAAAAATGAGCTGAATGGCATAAACCAGGGATGATGGGAAGAAACTCGGGCAGGGGGGCCTGTCACTGTAATTCCAGCTGGGATAATTCTGCACACACAGTGTCTGTGTCCCCCAGCATTCCCAGGACTGACTCACTGGCCAACACAAACCCAAAGACAAGGCCCACGAGCACCTTCACAGCCCCAAAACTGAGCTGGGATCCTTCCTCCTGCACCCTTCCCACCGTTGGGAGCACAGGGAGAAAGGGATCACCTGCAGCACCCACTGAACATGATCACAATGATCCCTCCCTTCAGGAGGCGGTGCCACTGGAAAGAACCATAATCCTAAAGTTTTTGAAGGCACTGCTGCTAAAATGGAAAAAGCATCATTTTTTTAAGATATCACTGACATAAAGGAGAAAATCCTTAATTTTTTCAAGGCACTGCTGACAGAAAGAAAAAAAAAACCCTTCAGTTGTGCTGCTTGTGGTGGCACACGGAGAGGGTGGAGGAAGGGAATCCACCCTCCTGGTTGGTGCCCTCTCCTTCCCAACGTTTGCAATCCATCACCCAAGGGATGTGTGAGGAGAAACCGAGGCAGAGCGTCCCCAGGGCAGGATTTTCCTACCCCAGCCCTGCAGCTCCAGCCCCCAGCTCCGGGCCCTCTTCCCGACCCTTTTTTCCTCCCCATCAGCCGTCCCTGGCTCTTCCCCAGTTATTCCCAGCCTTCCTACCTTCGAGGAGGTCTCTGGCCAGCCCCGGCTCTGCCCCCGTCGAGCGAACAAAATCCGACAGGACGATGTCCATAGCCGAGGCCGTGGCTCATGGAGCCGCGCACGGACGGGGTCGGCGGCGCCGGATCGGCTCCTCGGCATCAATCTGGGAACGACACCAACAGCGCACACGGATCGTGGGGGGGAGGATAAAACGAGGAGCCAGGCCACAAACCTCCCCCCTCGAATTAACTGTGCTCCAGGACTGCCGGTTCATTCACTGGGAACTGGGAGAACAACGCCCGTGTCGCTGTAACGGCGCCGCCAGCGCCGGGCATTTCCTTGGAAAATTCAGGAACTAAACCCAGTTCTCATCTCAGAGGTGGTGGAGCTTTTTTTTCTGCATTAGGGATAAGGAGCTGGGAGTAAATGATATAAGAAATGAATGTTTGGGAGCAGTGAGGAAGCAGGAAGTTCCTCTCGGACATTTGCAGGGAGCAAATCCCTGCCCCATCCCGCTCTGAGCTGCGTGCCAGGGAAGGGGAAGCAAGGCCAAAATGCTGGAATTAGGAGATGTGTCCTAAGGAAAATAAATCTTAAAAATCTCCTTTCAGGCAAAAAGAAAAAACAAAACCCAAACCAAAAAAAAAAAAACCCAACTGCTCTTGCAGGGAAAATAAATGTCCAGACAGAGCTCCTTCCCAATCCAGAGCTCCTCCCCAACCCAGAGCTCCTTCCCAGGCTCCTTCCCAATCCCGAGCTCCTTCCCAGGCTCCTTCCCAATCCAGAGCTCCTTCCCAGGCTCCTTCCCAATCCAGAGCTCCTTCCCAGGCTCCTTCCCAATCCAGAGCTCCTTCCCAGGCTCCTTCC